GTGATGCAGTGGCATCTTGCCTTCATTGGCCGGCATAAGTCATGTTGTAATACAATTCCCATCGTATGAAAAGATTAAGTCATACATGGCAAAAAAGGGTAAATATGGTATCTGCAAATTATTTTATTCCCTGTCACAAGTGATGCTTTCCTGTTTCCTCATGTTTACATGCTTATCTAATGAAAATCTCAAATAGTTCAGAAAACACTACAGTTGACAAGCTAAGTCCGGGAAATGTTGCCATTGCATCTTCAATTTCCAAAGTAATTGCCTCTGTAATGACTTATCCTCATGAGGTATGTCTAACATTGTCTGACTAAATTTCTACGGGAAGAAAATTCAGGATTTTTTCAGCATCACACCTTTGATTTCACAGGTCTTAACCCCTACAACTGTGTTTCCAGGTGATACGATCCAGGCTACAGGAGCAAGGACAGGCCAAAAATATCAAGGTCCAGTATGCAGGGGTTGTTGATTGTGCTAAGAAGGTGTTCCAGAAGGACGGCTTTCCAGGCTTTTATCGGGGTTGTGCTACCAATCTGTTGAGAACAACTCCATCGGCTGTCATCACATTCACCAGTTATGAAATGATATACAGATTCTTCCATCGTTTTGTTCCTCAGGACAATGTACATCCACAAGGCTATCCTAAATCTACTGATATTAACAAGCCCAAGCCGGAAGACAGTGATGACATGAAGTTTGAAAAAGGCCCTATGGTATGATTCTAGTTGGTAAGCATGGGACTGGGGTTCATCTCTATCCTCGTGGAGTGAAGCTTGTGCCAAGTGGAATCTGCCATGGCTGAGGTCTTGGGCTCTAGTAAATATCAGCTGTTATAAATTTTTGTAGGGGAGTCGCTGTTCAAAAGCCACGTCAAATTCTGGTACCTTCAATGGGAGACTCAAGTTTCATAGCTACAATCAGACCCAGAATGGCGGTCATCACCATCTCAATCTGATGGGTGAGGAAGCTTCATCAGTTCTTCTGGGAAATAAAGAGCGGCTAACTTGATGTTGATGCTTGAAGTTATCTTCCTAACTAATGTTTATTCTCTCTCTTTCTCTCTCTGGGGTTTGTAACTGTAAGTGGCCGGATTTTTCTTTTCTATGATGCAAATTCTTTGATTTATCATACATGGTGGAGTATGTTAGCTTTGCCCCCGCCAAAAGATGAATGGGGTTTTGTGTTGAGTAAGGATAGGAAATTTTTCTTGGGTAGAATGAGTCTTATCTTCGGTAATTGATGAGATATCTATTTGTGTTCCCTCTTTATGTTGCAAAATTCAATATCAAAATATATGGAATAACTGTACCTATTACTATCCCTAACTAAAAAAGCACCATCAAATATGAAATTCTGAATGTTCCCAACGCTGACTAAATAATCAACGTTATTGTAACTTGAATTGTCACTATCACCCCACCTCCGAATGGAGAACAATTTTAATCCCTGTCTTAGTGTGCCTTAGCATGACAAATGATTTGGATGGCACTGCTTTAATATTTTTTGCACTAATGATTATGGATTGCTCCTCTTTCCAAATGATGACATTGAGGTCAGGGTATTAGACTATTATAAATTATTGGAAAAGTTTATCTGTTAATCTTTAGTTTTATCTAATGTTTAATCAGGTTTACATAATATTTTCCTCCTTTTTAGTAGGTTCTCATAGTTTTACTTGAAGGTTCAATTTCAAGTGAATAATAAAAAAGAAAGTTTTCAGGAACTTGATTAAAATTCATGTAAAACTATAATGATTTGATTAAAAAAAAAAACTATAGTGACCTAACTGAAAATTAGATGAAATTATATAGGGACTAAAGATTGAAGAAGTGGGGTTAACAGCTTTTAATTATTTTTTTCTCTTTTATATTACATCTTTTTTTATTAAAATTTTATAATCCTATTTTTAAAATTTTTTAAATAGCGTTTATTAAAATTTTTTCCTCCTTCCTTTCCTTCCAATTCCTTCATAACAAACATAGGGTAAGGGATTTACAAATTAATTTTTCCTATGTAACAAATTAATTCATACCTTATCACAAGAAAAAAATTAATTCATACCTCATATTTTCCACTTTCTATCATATTCTATTTCAAGTTTTATCAATTTATCTATATTTTGAACTTTCGTTATTGTGAATTTGTACCAAACTTAGAATGATATTACAATTTGGCAAACAAATCATTCTCACTAAAAATGTTGGGGTTGCAATCAACTTTTATTTAAAATTAATTCAAACAATAAGAATAAAGATAGGAGAGAAAACTTGATGAAACAAATGCTTTGATGGTGACAACAATAAATGTGGATCCAACTTTACCAATCATACTCTAAAAATCATCATTTACAGATCTAACAAACATATTTCACTTTGTTTTCTTGGTTGCAGATTTAAAATATGATAGCACTTCCTAAATCTCATATAACAATAACAAGAGATATAAATGGCACATCCTAATCTATGAATAATTTCTTCTGCATAAAAGCCAAGGTGAGCCAAGTAATAAAGGAACTTAAAGCATATGTGCATTGTTGATCTCAATGCCGTAATTTAGAATAGTGTTTTATTTCGGGCCTACACTAAGCTTTTGGGACGTAGATAGTCTTTAATGGCAGGCAATATCCCAAAGTGATTGTTCTGTGCATATTTCTATAAATCTCTGTCTTCGCCTTCAGAGCCCTTTTTGACGTCGTTGGTTGATTGTTCCTGCTTTACCATTACACTCATTCTTCCACGTCAAATCCAACATATCCCACTCTTCTCTCTTTTTTACTCACCTTCCTCACTTTAACTTTTCACTCCCACTATTTTTCTTCCTAAAAAGAATAGGATATACATTAAAGAATGACTTTTCCTTGATCCCATGTGCTTCATAATCATTTAGAAATTACAAGATATATGCTCATTTGATTAAACAACACACTGTACTTCCCTAATCATGTAATCATTGAAAGATTTGGTTATTTATTTGGGTCCCTTTATTTTCTTTTCAAGTGGAAAATACTACCTTATTCTTTTATACATGATGATTTTTTCATGATGATATATTCCTATTTATAAGAGATATTAATAGTTCGTCTGAAATTTTTAATATATTTTTTTTAAATTTTTTTCCATTAATTATTAGTTAGCATCATCACATTAGTTATTGGCTAGTCACTCACTCATGACTCATCCAGCTTTTTATAAATAAGGTACTTTAAAAAAAGTTATATTTTTTTAATATATATTTATTGTTTTTAATTGATTTCAACCGATTTTTAATATACATAATTCCATTATTTGTGTATCATAAAAGCTATAGATGAAATAATACAGCAATCGTGGCTGGGTTTATAATTCACTTCGTAGTGTCTAAATAAATATGATATAAATTGTCTTATCATTACTCTTTCTTTTATTCAAGTTTCCTTGGATATTATGATCAGTTTTAGATCCACTTGAGAGTATCTTAAGTGATTCACTTTTTGGACTAGTCAAAAGTAAATTCCCTTGCTTTTTCAATATCCATCATCTTTAAACCGTCTCGTGATTTATGGATGAAAACAAAAAGAAAAGGTTTTTCACTCATAACAATTTATAATTAGGTGTTCTTAATATAGTAATGTAAGGTGGTAATTTTTACCACAATTTGATTGCCATTCAATTGATCATGCTTATGGCTGAAGATAATATTATACTAATAGAATCAATAATGTCAGCATTTAATTGGCCAAAAAGTAGCATAAATTATATGCTCGAATCTGAAGTTGACCTGTTTGAGTATGCATGTTAGAATCACATGTACATTTGGAAAATTAATTTATAGTTCTTTTGTTTTATCTAATTCTTAATCAGAATTTGTTTATATTTTTTTTAGGGTTAATTAATCCGCAAGTCCTTATAGTTTTAACAAATTTTGAATTAGGTCCCTATAGTTTTTTTTCTTTTTATTAGGTTCTTATACTTTTACCTTTTTTTAATTAGGTCCTTGTATTTATTTTTCTTTTAATTAAGTCCTTATAATTTCACTAAATTTTTAATCAGGTTCATGTAGTTTTAATTTTATTTATTAATTAAATATAAGCTTAATTAAATAGATTAATACTGAAATATAAAATATTAATAATTAAATTAAATTAATAATTATGTAATAAAAAAGTAATAGAATTAATTAATTCAGGAAAATTTTTTTAGAACAATTAATTTTTTTGCTGAAAAAATTAAAATCATTATAATAATTCAATATCTTTAGAATATTATTGTTTATAAACTAATATTAAATAATATACTATTTTATGTTTATATAATAGTACTATTAGAATTTATAAAATAAAGAATAAAAAATTCAGGGACTTAATTAAAAATAAGGTGAACTTATAAGGACTTGATAAAAAGAAAAATAAATACAAGGACCTAATTAAAAACAGGTGAAAGTATAAAGACCTGATAAAAAGAAAAAAATTATAAGAACCTGATTCAAAATTAGTTGAAACTATAAGGAACTGTGGATTAATTATCCATTTTTTTATTAGGTACTTAAAATATAAGGATGAAATTACAGAACTTGTATATTAATTTTTTTTCCCCTTATGCTAACTTAACATGTTCTATTGATTAAAAAATATGAATTCCTTTTTGCAATAGAGTTACAGATTTCGATTACTTCTAGAAGTCATGCAATACAATTTTTCAGTGATTTTCACATAACATTTTACAATATCCGAAGTAATGCCAACGTATATGCCTCTTGATCTTTGTATAGTTAATAACGACATATATATATATATATATCTCTTCAATAAACTCATCTGAGTATTACTGGGCATACAGAGCAGGAACAGAAAAGGGGAAAAACCCACATTTTAATTCGAAAGTACAGTTCTATGCTAATTATCCTATAAGATTAAGGATAATGCCACAGTAAATAGTTTTAAAATTCTAATTAACAGAGGGAAATACATTTGGATTCAATTAGCTGAAGAAATTCGAGATGGCATTAAACAGAGACCTTTATTCCTCTGGAATGGTGACCAGAGCTGGGCGCCAAGATTTCCTCAATAACGACCTGTAACGGAAACGCGTCCAACCCGGTTTCGGTGACCCCAGTCCGTTAATCGAACCCACGACGGAATGGAACTCTCTAGATGGAAGCTTGTTGCTCTCGGTGATTTCAGTGATCTGTCTCTCACCTTCTTCTTCGTTTGGAAGCGAGGACCCGAACAATTCTTTCAGTGAGTTCCTCCGCATTGAATCTTTCCCGCTCTCCTCCTCCTCCTCCTCCTCCGATGAATCCATCACATGCTTCAGCTGAAAGGTCGTCTCTCGCTGACGAGGTGATCGGCTACTGGTGCTCCGGCAGAGAAGCATCCGCAAGGTGGTTTTCCGGCGCTGAAACTGAACCAGCGGGCTGGTCCTGGGGCTTCGTGTGGGGCTCTGGACGACGCCGCATTGCATCGCCAGGAGCTTGAATTTCTGCAGCGTCGCCATCTAAGCGTAAGTCCCTCTCTCTCTCTCTCTTCTCTCTCACTCTCCTTCCCTCCCTCCCTCTGTGTCTGGCTGTGGCTCTCAAAGTCTGCAAGAGACTTCAAATTTTATTGTGCTGTGGTGGTGGTAATTATAAGGGGACAATTGGGAATTGATTACTTCTAGGAGGGAAAACGGGATCTGTTTTGGGAATGGTTACATCTTTGAATTATTTTCTCCGGGTCTGATTTTGATTGGTGTGCTTCTTTTATTTTCTCTCTGTCTTCAAGATTTCAAAGAAAGAAAAGAGGTTCAAAAGCTTGAATGGCCAAAAAGAAAAAGCAGAGCAGTAGTGTGGAACATTTTGTGACGTGGGTTTATTTAGTAGGAAAACTTATAAAATCTTCTCTTGTTCTTCTCAATGAGAGCTTAACCTCAAATATAAAAATAAAGATTAGCGCTGAGAATTCCCCTAATTTTGAAATCAATCCACTTAGAAGTTGGAAAATCAGTACAAGCCAAATAAAAATTGCACTTAAAAATATTCCCTCCACTAGAAGTTTAAAAGGTATTTTTTGGCCAACTTCCACCTTAAGAAAATAGTTAACATCATTTAAAATTACCTGCTCCTTCCATGGTTACTCTTATTTAACAGGGTAGCCTAATCATAAATAAACATTAGAAATTTCATTAATTTCAAATATTCTTTAAAGATATCTTTGAAAAACAATTATTAATTACTCCCAAAAATCACCAAGATGTCTTATATCTTTAATTCTGGAAATAGTAGAAAAATGTTTAATAATTATGAAGGAGGGGGTATCTTCTAAAATCAAAACTGAGGCACTAAACCTAAGCATGAAAGTTAGTTTCCTTTTTTTTTTTTTAAAAAAAAAACTATTAGGAAGCTGGATAACATAACATGCATTTGAAGGTAAAGGCTTAGGCAATTGGGCAATCTGTTGAGAGGCTTAAAGAAGATGTTGTAGTCAGAACAGCTACGATGGGAGACACTTCTGTAGTCATAGAGTGAGGCCGCATCTCAACAGGGGATCCGTAAGCGTGCTTGTGATAGTCAAAGACACTGCAAATTTTAGAAATCCACAAGAGCTCTGGAAATTCAAGGTCACGAACCATGACTTCATGCTCATGATCCTTCTCGGAAGTATTGCCAATTTGCAACCATCTTTTGTTTCCTAGTTGGACCTCTTTATGTGCACTTGAGTTGTCACAATCTCTGAGGGTAACCCAAGTTACTAAGCTGATTTACACGGGCATTGACCGAGGAAGGTCTACCAGGAACAGAATCATACACTCTTCCTCCTCATCAGGGAGATCCAAAGTCTAAATTCTTTCATTGCCCAGCTTACAACGCTCCTGATTCCAACATTAAAAGAGTTTTAGAGGCCAAAATTCCTAGTCCTGAAGCGAATTTCAGACCAAATTGGTGGACCATCATCATATACAATCACAATTTTAAGGGACAACGCGGAGGTGTGACATGGATCGGGCATCCCAGAAGCTGATTTGGAGAAGACCGAAAAATTTCAACAGCTTACTCTCACTTTACTGCCTGCGAGCGGCCCTTGTGGGGATCACCAAGCCTCCATTTCATGAAAATCATCCCGGAGCTGCACTTGACATCCAAAGTGTTAAGAAGAAACTGACTCTTCCCTCTTCTGATGAAGTCGGAGACGTGCTTATGACAGATATCTCCATATCTTCTCACTTCTCTCATTTTTCCCCCTCTTAGATGGCCCTCATGTAACATCTTCTATTAGTCGTAATGTTTTACTTAGTAGTAGTCCTGTTTTTCATGGCTATGTACGAGTAGCTCACTAATTCTGTCTCTACTTTCTTGATTAATGCATTTTGTCCTTTTATCAGGGGGAACAAAAGGACCAAGGAAGGTGAGGGGCAATATATTCTGAGAGCTTAGCTTCCTCGAACATGCTTCACTCTTTAATATTATTGCTGAGTCGGGTGTAAACATAAATTTCTTCGTCTGGTAGGGTCCTATACTAATTAAGTTTTCTTCAACAACGAATATTATTCAATTCAAATGGTTAAACTGACTAGTGATTACTTTGACATGTTCTGCATTGATTCCATTCCTTAAAATGCATGGCGTGAATATCATATGTACAGTTCGGATGACATTTGAAACGGAACCAGATCTTGCGATTTTGTGTTTATTTATTTTATAAGTTCAAATTATATGATTGACGTTATTATATTTTTTGCACCCTTTAAGTTAAAAATTACTAAAATTGAAGAAAACATAAGAACATTATCATTATATTACATTTTAGGAAAAATCACAAAAAAAGACTTTAAAAATAGAAAAATTATAAATAAGGACTCGTTACAACATTAGTATTAGTTTTGACAATAATTGATAAGCAAATGACAAGTCCCTATATACAATTTTCCAATTTTTAAGGTCTTTTTTTTAGGATCTTTCCTAAATTTTATAAATATTAAAAATAAAAATATTTGAAATGTAAAAACACCATACGTTAGGTTCTTGTTTGTCTCCACCTAAAAAAAAAAAACTATTGCATTTTATGAGTCAAAACTCCTTTCGCTTAAATGTAAAATCATTTAAGATAAAAAAAATGCTTCAGAAAACACATGGCTGATTGATTTTTCAGTTCAAGCTTCATGGCCGCTTGAGGCTAGTAGCGGTGAGTTAAGGAATTGACAAAGGTTTAGAGTTCAAACACTCAATAATAAAGAAAATAATTAATAAATAAAATGATAAGTAATTTGTATATGTCGTCATGTATAAAAAGAAGCACAACTCTCAAGTCACATTCAATAATGTCTCGAAGGAAAACAAAACATTCTCTCATGACAAAATACTAAAATTAGTAGGTAAGAAAGAAATTTCAGTGCACACTGGACCAGGGGGCTGCACTTAAAAGACCCGTGATTCTGCTATTTAATAGCTAAAGCTGATAATAAAAGAATACCAAACACCCACATACACAAAGATAGTTTAATACTTTAATTATGCCAGGAGTTCCTTATTTACCTGCGTCGAAGCTGTATAATTGAAAGCATGAAGAAAACTCGCAGCACAGCAAACAAATGCTGTTGACATGACGAGGATTTTCCTCATAATGAATCATCATATGAGCAGTGGTACAAATAGATGAGAGAATCACTCATCCTCAACTGAGGATGGATGCTGACAAAAATTGTATTATTCTTTCTGATGCTCATAGGGTAGACTCAATTTAACAGAATCAAGTGAAAACTACTGAATTGAACTCCTTTGTTATGTACCGACATTAAGGTGCAATAAAACTGCTTTTTCCAATGGTGATCATATTGTATGGGGAGGGCCTTGTGGCTTTGAGTTCGTCAATGATCCTGTTCCAACCCTGTGCATTGAGGTTGGGAGAGATGTATGAATTCCCTTGTTTGAAAACTCAGTACCATGAAACTCTAGATGCTTAAGATCATGCTTCCCGTTTTCTATTTTCTGCAGAATCTGCATTACTTCATCCATGGAAGGTCTTAGCTCCCTATCCCTCTGTAGGCACTGAAAAGCTAACTCTGCCACTGAGATTATCATCTTCTTAACCTCCTTGTCTGACTCAAAACCAAGGGAAGGATCTACCAGCTCAGTGAACGCTCTTCTTTGAATCTTGTTAACTGCCATGTTTGCCAATTTAATCTCATCCTTGTTCCTTGTAACATCAATAGCTGGCTTAGAAGATATCAGCTCAATGAGTACGACCCCGAAGCTATAAACATCACTCTTTTCAGTAAGCTGATAGCATTGGTGATATTCTGGGTCCAAATAACCTGGGCTTCCTGCTGGAGCTGTGGAGACATGAGAGACAAACTTGGGGAACAACCTTGAAAGACCAAAGTCAGCTACCTTGACACAAAAATGGTAATCAAGTAGAAGGTTGCTGGATTTGACATCACGGTGAATGATGTCACAAGCATGGAGATAGGACAATGCATTTGCTGTCTCTATGGCAATCCTCATCCTCACATGCCATGGCAGTGAGCCAGGTTTTGCGAGATTGCCCTGGAGATGACAACCAAGAGTTCCATTTGGAATGTATTCGTAGACCAGCAACAGTTCATGACTAGCACGTGAAGTGCAGCCATACAGCGACACAAGGTTTCTGTGACGCAAGCGTGTGAGGATCTTAACTTCATTTATGAATTGCTGTACACGTTTATAGTTGCGCTCAAATAGCCGCTTCACAGCAACTTCTCTTCCATCTTTAAGCTTTCCTAGTTGTTTAAAATCAAACCAACAATTTGTTCATCAACATCTAAATTACACATTTTAAGAGAATAGGGCATCTTTTGAGGTGGCTTACCATGGTATACAGTTCCAAAGCCTCCACTTCCCAGTTCTCTTGATTGATCAAATTTGTTTGTTGCTTCTTCGAGTTCCTCATAGGAGAAGAGAGGTACCCCAAAGTAGATATTTCTACTTTCTAGGATTGCATTTGAGTAAGTATTGTCAGATTGATTGCTTCTTGAGCGAGTATTATCAGATTCAATGCTTCTTGACTGATTTTGTGAGCCTAAAGACTTGTAATCTTGTTTGTTCCGCAACAGAATAACAATCAAGCCAATTATAATCATGCCAACACTTCCAATAGCCACACCTATAGGAGGAAAAGATTTGAAATTTCAGTTAATTTTTGGAGTATAACAGCCACGAACAGAGTCAATTACTTGGAATGTTTTGAAACGAGACCTTTCAACACAAACACTCACAAAAGACTCCTATACAGAATTACTATCTATTACTATACGCAGAGTTTACAAAATCATTTCAGTTACAGCGATTTGATTGCTTGGAACACTCATAAGCTCATTAACAAGCACTAGCACTCTGGCGTAAATGAAAAACAATGAGACTCTTGTCTAATTGGGGGTAAATATGGGAATGCATTACCTATTATTATAGACTTGGAATCGATTTTCTTGCACTCTGTCATCATCAAGGCAAAGATCAACAAATAAGATTTCAAGATATATAATATGGAAAACAATGAGACTCTTATCTACTTGGGGTAAATATTTTGAATATCGTGGGAATGCATTAACTAATGGCTCGGAATCGTTTTGCTCAGGCTCTGCCATCATCAAGGCAAAGATCAGCAAATAAGATTTCAAGATAATATAAAAAATAATGAGAGTTTTGTCCACTTGGGGTAAATATTTTGAATGTCGTGGGAATGTATTACCCGGTGTCATAGGCTTGGAATCGTTTTTCTTGAGCTCTGTCATCATCAAGGTAAAGATCAACAGATAAGATAACGAGAAATGACGTCCTAAGAAGCGTAACGAGAAATGACGTTATGTGGCCTAATTCTTGTGTCATAAGTCAAGATGCTTACCATGGGCATCGCATTTCTCATCCAAACAAGAGAAAGGTAGATGTACTTGTATATAGATTTCATCCAATAAGGATATGTTGGTTGAGCCGGGAAACTTAGCTTCAAATATTGGAAGCTGGACAAGAGAACATCCTTTAGAAGGCTCGGGCCAGTGACTAGCTTCTTCGGGAGGATAGTAAATGCAGTAGCCATCACAGGGATATAAGAGGTTGTTGTAGTCGAGAGGCTCGACGCATTTCAAAAGGGAAATGCCGTTTAAAAAAGAGAAAGACAGACCAGGAGACTCCGCGTGAAAAGCAACTTTGTAGTCGATGACACTGCAAGGATTCGATACGCTCTTTTGAAACCAGTGGTCACGAATCATGATTACATGTTGATCACCCTCCTGGGAATTTGCTCAACCTGGAACCGTTCTCTTCCCATTGGACCATTTTGGGTCCCCATGGATCATCACAGCCTGATATGGGTAGTAAACCACATGGTGAGTCCGTTGTGTTGTCGAAGAAGGGGAAGTGGATCTGCCCAAGATGTCCACAGGGAAAAGGCCCTGTTGGACAGGCAACTGAGAAAGGAAGCAGAAAACAACACAGACAAAGCAAAGGAAGCACAGAATAAGGAGTAACCATACTAAATTTCATACTTTTTGGCGGCCAAATTATGCGGATTCTCATGACACAAATGATCTCCTTGGCTAATCCTTTGTGTTATTAATGGTTAAATGAATCCGAGTGCTTACTACGTTGGTTGACTTAGACATTGACTTAGAACAAGACTTGGAAAAGTGGCCTGGAAAATAAGGGTAACCCACTCCTACTCAGCTTCCTCAAATGTCATGTTAGCATGACTTTGACTAGTCCAAGGTCTTTTGCGTCCCCCTTGAAGTTCACCCAACGGCAAAAAGACCAGTACAGAAACTCCGAGTTTTATCCACGGCAACCACATAATTTTATTATATATTTACCAATAATTATTTTAAAAATACCCTAGTATATATGTGTATTCATCATCAGGGTCAACTTAAGTATAACTGGATTTTACTTCTTTCATGGAGCAATCACCAGGGGCATTATCTGAACTTAACGTGCGGTCGAAGACGTTAAGAACTCGATTGGATAATTGGAGTCCAATGAAGAAAAAGAAGACAAGGGAGGAGAAAAAAGGATGCATTTGATGTTGACGGGGTTCTGAAGAACTTATAAATATTCAAAACGCGTTTTTATCAGTTGTGCACCCATTCCCTTGAATGTTTCAGATTCAGATTGTTATTTCTGGCACCTTTCTTCCTTTCCCTACCTCCTTCTTCTTCGAATCTTCCCTTTCTCTGTTCGTATGTTCATTTTCTTCGTTATTTCCATAATTCAGCCCCAAATGTGGCCTTGCCATTCTCTTGAAGGAGAAAGTTCTTAAATACAATTTTACTTTTACATAGATACTTGCTAATAAAATAATTAATGTAGGTTCCATGTCTTCTTGTTTTTTTTTTCGGGCCAAAGGTTCATGTCTTACAAACACAAAAATTTTCCCAACCTGGGGAATAAATGAAAGATTTTGATGAGTTCAGTTTAAAATTAAAACTTTATGAAGTTTACATTTACATCTTGAAACATTATGGGATTACATGCAATTAACCAAAGTCCAAATTTTTTTATGAAGATTTTGTATATTTTAACCTATACTTTATATTATATTTTTTTTACTTTATACATATTAAAAATATGAGGAACAATTATTTTATTTTGAATGAACCTGTGTGCGTACTACCTTCGTTGACGTATTGGACGGTGACTAAGAACAAGACTTGGAAAAAAGGGGTGAAAGGTGACTCATTTCTCCTCAGCTTGCTCAAATGACATGTTAGCAAGTCTTGAATATACTCCTAATAATGGGTTCTTGGTCATGGCAGCAATAAAAGGAATAATCTAACAAGATGATAATAATTTATATACATGATATTATTTGCTATACTTGAACTTTGGCAGCCGTTGCTGTTGCCGTCACTAGAGGTCTAGTGACCAGCCGACTGGTGAGGATATTTGATATTTAAAAAAAAAGTAAATAAATAAAGGGCAATTGGATCGTTGCAAGCAAATTTACAATTCCAATTTGGTCACCTGTACCTAAACTACAATTTTACTTATTTAAGTGACTATTTGGGGATTTTGAAATTCAAGAATAATTTTTCTGTCATTTTCCTAAATCAGTTGTGAACCCAAATTATATGCAATTTTTTTTTTTGGAATAGTACAAGGCAAGAAAACTTAATTTAGAAGTTTGAGGCGGATATAGTGGCTAATGCCATATCATCCTGCAGTTGAGATAAGCACTCCCGTGGGGGCCTTTGCCAATAAATCATTTCTTCATGTATGACTTGTGCCTTTTTGGCCATCATATCTGCACATTGGAGTGCACTCCTTCGTGCATATTTGATGCTAATGTCCCAATCTGAGTAGATATGTTCTCTGATCTCTGTTATCTCAGTATGCAAAAAGTGATTTGCCCCTCCTTCAGTTTCGACCAATCTAATAGCTTCTATAGAATCAGTGAAGACCATGATCTTGCTGAATCCTTGCTGTTTACACATCTGCAGACCCGTTAGCAAGGCCATCAGTTCTGCCTGTGTCGGTGGGTGGAATCCTAGTCGTCTCTGAAATCCTATACGCCATCTAACTGCAATGTCTCTGACCAGGCCTCCCATTTGCCTGTCGGTTTTGATAAAATTATATGTATTTCATAAGTTGCTAATTAAAAA